ATACATCTAATACTTGTTATCGGCGCCTGTCACTCGCGTAACATTTTTCACTCAATAACAGTGGTACATGGTAAGTTGGTCGTAATGAAGGACCACCATGGCATTGATAGCGTGCGCGAGATGGACCGAGATTAACAGATCTCTTATGAGACCACACGAACGCAGGTAGTCCGTAATTCAATTCAGATTGTCATCGTTTGATGACGTGATATGGTTAACGAAGCGAAGATCGAGCACCCGGTAGCGTAACGGGTCGCATATTTGCGTACAACGAACAGTAGTTTTAATTGATATTTTTGTTATACAAGTTTTAAACGACGTTTTCAATAGCACATGATTAAAAATAACTTTATAATTGGTATATTATAGTTAGTATAGTGATTAAGTACTGCATATATTATGTACATAATATGTATATTAAAATTTGGGGTAAGATATTTTTATTTCACTATTGTTTATGCAAAATTTAAAGCTCATATTAGTATTTTAATGTATTAAAACTTAAAAATACTATTAGATACCTGTTACTTTTATCTTGATTTCGTTCGCATGATAAGTAGTGGCGTAATTACCCTTTTTGGGGCCCTATGCAAAAAAAAATAATGGAAGTGCTATTACGAAATTATATGAAGCTGCTTATTATGAAATAATATGTGGAAATTTAGGACACCTATATTTTTGCGGTTTTTGTAAATTTCTATGAGGGTCGTCCTCGAAAAAATGTTTGAAATAAAAGAATCGTTTGTGGCCCGCTGGAGCCCCCCTTAAATCAGAGGCCCATGCATTAACATAGCTACGCTACTAGTGACAAGGTATCAATATCAAACAAAGTAAATGAAATAATTTTGATTTTGACATATTTTATAATATGTAATAATATTATGTAAATAATTAAATGATTGTAAAAATAACATCATTTTGTTTCCACATAGCATATCCATAATCTCATGACTCTAAGAAAGTATTATTAAGGCTTAAAGTAATAGAATAGTTTCAATATATAGATAGGACATACAGATTATATATTCTTATGAACATACCTTTATATTTGTATCACTATTTTAATCGTTTTTATCCAATTAATGGTGCAATAGAAAATGTAGTAGTAAAAAGTTGAAATTCTAACAATTTAACAGTGAAGCCAGGACAGGCTACTAAATAAAATACTTAATACGTTTATAGGTATACTATTTTCATTAATAAATAAATATGTTGGGACATTAACACACATCACCATCTAGTTCCATGGTAAGCTACGAGGGTTGTGTTATGGATACCAGATAGTTGTTACACTACACATATACATATAACTTTAAATACATACATATTATAAATATAAATACCCCGACTACCATTTACCACGACTATACCACGACTATATGACTCAAGACTATATGACTCATTTGTGTAATGAACACGAATGTTTGTAACACGAATGTACAAACATTCGTGTTCATTACACAAATGAATCCCCCCAGCGGGACTCGAATTCGCGACCGCTGGCACAGCAATTAGGTACACTACAAACTGATCCAAAGTTATCTTTAATATTAATTGATTTTTATTACTATTTATATGTACCTATACATTTAAAACTTTTTATAAGTAGGTACCATTAATATACTTAATCAATAATGTAACCTCTGTCAAAAGGTTTGCTACAATGGTAGAAATCTCAGAAGGGAGGGTCAAGCGTCGACCGCACATACCATTCTTGCTCATTGCGGTTACCCTTTAAGAATACTTTTGCACAAATCGCAATATTGTGATTTAACTCAAACTCAAAATATACATTAATACCTAATTCATTCGAAATAAACTTTTACAAGTACCTACTTTTGGGCTTGCCAATATAAGAAAAATATTATATATTGTAATAGTAGTGTTCGTCTATGACGAAGCTATGGATAATTCTTCTAACATTACGAGTTCTTCGGCTTGAAAGTATTTTTGCTGAAAAAATTGATGGCAAAATTTTATGGTAATTTGTTTTGTTGCAATTCACTTTGAACGATTTATTCGCTTCCCTGTGAAAGCCATTGGTATTAAAAAATAACTGAAAATTAAAAATCTGATAGGATGCATAGGTACATCTTTTCAGTTCTATTCCCTGTCCTAGTTCTTATGCTACAAATGAAACTATGTATAATAATACAATATATATTAAGACTTTAATCTAAAAAAAAAATATAAATTCAGCCCTCCAAGTTGATTTTCTCTTCAATTTCGACTAATCTATACATATAATAAAATTCTAAGCCGAATCTGTACGTTAATTTTTTTTTGGAAAATCTTATTGAAATAGACATTTCTATCGATACAAAGGCCGTATCTATAGATTTTAGAATATTTGTCTGTCTGTCTGTCTGTCTGTTACCGCATCATGGAAAGACCACTGGCGGGATTTTCATGAAATTTGGTACGGTGATAGCTGGTTATCCGGGTCAATATATAGGATACTTTTTACTGCGGGAAAATATCTCTGAGAAATCGATACTAAACGTTATAACGTAAGTAGGGACGAAGACGAGCAAAACGAGGGCGAGTCACTAGTATAGTTATAAAATATATCACAATAAAGTTTAATATATTTATTTATTATGTATACGATCTTGGAAAGCCCTGAACCTTTTTGGGAAAACTCACAAGGGACCTACGATGTAAATTAAAAATTTGAGTGATATATTGTATATACTACAAGCAAGCATGGCCTAGATTATGTTTATGATCTAGATTAGATATAGGTATGTTAGCAATTTACTAAAACTATTTTCTTGGTAATGATTCAAAATTTGTACTTTGACTAAGTCACTTTTATTTTTTCTTTCTTTTCTACAAAGGCGCTCAGTATTATATCGTCTTTCATTCTGTAGAGGTTAAAGTTAATTAAGTTATAACCTGCTTTCCATTCATACTATTAAGCTTTCAACGTTACTTTCAAGTCTAGGCAAAAAGCAATTTCCTTAGAGGGAAATTAGGAATTTCTTCACAAAGACCGAACAACTGTTTACTAAGTCATTTTATTTCCATTCCATAATTATAAACTAAGGGTGGTATAAAAGCTCTAACATTTTGCTTGGCACTAATCATTTTACATAGAGTGTAAAAATTTATTCTTATATAACTTTTGTTATAAGAATTACATTGAAAGATGTTTCGAATTTTTTGTATAAATTGGTCCTTGTAAGATACATTGCAAAATAGTCTTATGCGATGATACCTTTAATGCAGATAGGATAGTATTAATCCCCTTTTTTATTGAAGTTATACAAAAATTAGGAGAGTAACATTTTTTCGATGCGCGCGCACACCGACAGCCAAAAAGCGACATGATAAAGTTAGCTGAAAGCTCATGATGAAGTTAGCCGCATTCCTTTTACAGAGAGTTGTGACATACGGGATGAAGTCTTTAGCTATTTTTGTTCTGTTACGTCAAAGAATTATAACTTCTTACGTGCGTACATAAGTATCTATACACACACGTTTTTTTCATATAAGTTTTTCTATTTTTTATGAATTAATATGTAATTTTAAAATATATTATTAAATGTCTCACCATAAGCCATCATAAAGCTACAATAACAGTAATTTAATTGATAAATGCTACTGTTAAATTGTTTATGTTATATCGATATAGTAATATGTTATTATAAGTGGGTCTTGTTCCTAGCATTATTTACATATAAGCTTAACGATGTCCAAGCGAGTTGTCTAGTCATATTTCGTTATATAAACAACTAATTTGCTAAGCGCAATTAATCAAAGGCAAAAAGGAAGCTCATGCTCGTACACGTGTAATTATTATGCACATTAATTAACAGTGCCCCAAAGGTTGTTACCACATAAATTATTCAGTAAGGTCCCCGGCACGCAACGCCTCATTCGAAGTACACGATAAATTACTTATATATACGTACATACATACACACATGCACTCTTCCCTGATGGCTAATGTATGAAAATAATCACCTTGTATTTGCTACCGCCTAGCCCTAGTTTAATATATAACAGGTAATAATAGGTATTTATGAATATAATTAAATTTAAATGAACTTATTATTAATAGAAGAAATTTTGCAATATTTATTTTTAAGGTTTAAATCTTACTACTTGTACGGTTAAGATAATAATTACTCTAAATAAACTCTTTTTTATTTCTTAGATTATGTTTCGTATCCTTTAGGATTTGGTATGTGTTAAGTGTGTACAAATAAGTTTTATAATGGCTTACATCTTATTAAAACAAAGTTATCCCACGGGAACCATACATTTATCCAGGATAAAAAGTAGCCTATGTGCTATTCCAGACTATAATCTATCTCTATCTGACGACACGTTTGGCTCAGTGGGTATGTAGTGACCCTTCTTGTTGTGCCAGCGGTCGTGGGTTCGAGTCCCGCTGGGAGCATTCGTTTGTGTGATGGGCACGAATGTTTGTACTTCAGTCATAGGTGCTATATTTATAAATATGTATTTTCTTAAAGTTATAAATGTGCAGTGTATCAACTATCTGGTATCTATAACACCTCGTAGCTTACCATGGAACTAGATAGTGCTGTGTGTTAATGTTCCAACATATTTCTTTATTATCTCTGTGCCAAATTTTATCCAGATCCGTTCAGCCATTCTGGCGTGATTGAGTAACAAACATCCAAATATCCACCTAATTTTTTTTAACATTTATAATATTAGTAAGAAGTACCTAAGATAGTAAGAAGTAAGATCAAAGAATCAAAAAGTAAAATATAAAGTAATGGATGACTTTCTCTCCTCTAAGGAGCGAGTTTGTAGAGTTCTCTTTTTATTTGCTTTTATTTTAAAAAAATAAGTTATATACAGAAACATACAATATATCGTAAAAATAGGATCAAATAAGAATATATATAAAGAATTTGCAATTAATATTTAATTTATAGTTTTTGACAAAAACAACTCTTAGATTTTTAATTAAGGATTTTAGTGTTTCTTATAGATTTTAATATACTGTCCTTTGTTCACAGCAAATGGGAGCTTTCAACCTGGAATGGAACCAAAACGACAGCGGACAGCGTACACTAGGCACCAAATATTAGAATTGGAGAAAGAATTCCATTACAATAGGTACCTTACTAGGAGAAGACGAATAGAAATAGCCCACACTCTAGTCCTGTCAGAGAGACAAATAAAAATCTGGTTCCAAAACAGACGAATGAAATGGAAAAAGGACAATAAATTACCGAATACCAAAAACGTTAGAAGAAAAACGAATCCGGCCGGCGTCACCACGACCACGACTAAAGGAGCCACACCAAAGAGTAGATCAAATAAGCATACGAATAATAACGATAAGAAGAAATCAAACAACAACGGTCGACCAGATAGTATAGAGAATGTAACTGACAATATAATGAATGAACTACATTGTGTTGGTTCTCAGCAGAGTATGTCTCACGATCCGGCAATCAGTCCCATGTCGCATCCAGGCAACCAGATGAATCCTGGACATCCTATGACGGCGCATCATTTACATATGATGGGAATGCATGCAAGCATGGACCCTTCGCTGGTCGCCAGCTTGTCTGCCCATGGATCACCAGCTGGCAATGCAGGATGTGGCACCGGCATTACTGGTAACCCGCCCATAATTAAATCAGACTATGGTCTCACCGCCTTATAATCTTTAGAATAAAGAAGATGTTATATTTTCATTGAACACTCATTTAACTCACCATTCCTTCGTGTTAATAACGTGTAATAAAGTGATGATTACTATAACTAATTTAAGTTAAGTGTAAGTAACTAGTGAGTATAACAGTCATAAATTGGATGTTTGGATAATAAATAAGTGGAAAACTTTACAATGTCAAAAGTGTGATTATTTTAGGGTAGGAATAGATATCTGAGTGCTGGGTTTGTACTTTTTACTGTAAGTCATTGTCCAAAAATTTCTCATATAATATTCAAATTAAAAAAAAAGTAAGTTAATCAGTTACCATTAATAGTGTTATGGTCATGATATAAAATATTTATAATAAGAAATCAGTATATTTTAAATAATAGCTATAGCGCTAAATTCCATATTTATTGAATTTAAAGTCAATAAAAATTATATCTTAAAAAAACATGTTCTTAGTATTATTATTTTTAAAACATTTCTCTAAGCTAATAAACTAACTGCAAATATTGTTACTGATTACTGAATATATTATTTGATTGATAAAATGAATTAATATCCTATCTAAAATTTTATTTTTCACTATGACCTAGCTAAGCAACTGTGGTATTAGAACAGATGTACATTCCTTATTGAAAAATTGCTAAATTGTTTAAGTGCAAAGTATACAATAATTAATTGTTTTTTTGAGTGTCTATATATTGTTATTAATATTATTATTTGGTTTTTAATATAACACCAAGCTTTGAGACATTTGTCAGTATGTATATGTAACAAGCTTAATTTGTAACATTATTAAATAGCATAAGAACGTTCATTGTTTGTATACACTTTAAGTATTTCTACTCCTTATATAAGACAATATGATTTAGACAATGACTTAGGATTAAGTACAAAATAAATATAATTTTAAATGGAAATTGTTTTGTAACTAAAATAGGAAAATGTGAATATAAAACTAATAAAATGTAGTATAAACCTTAACTTTATACCAGTTTCATTCAAAATATCCTAAATAATTCTTAATATATTCCATAAAGAACGATTATGAACAAAATTCAACTTATAACTAGATATATTAAAGTTGTACATGCAAACATCGCTTTTATTGTATTTTATACAATAACCCTCCTTTTGGCTTCGCCGCAGCCAGTTAAAAATACCTATAGCCTTATGAAAACGAAAATATTTGTTTCAAAAACATAACTTAAAATATGTTAAAACATTCAAAGCTTAACTTATCTCATTCTAAAAAAATATTTTTTCAATATAGCCTCTGAGTGGTATAAAAGGCCACCGTAATGTTATACATATGTACATTACCGTGAAAAGACTGCTTTTTATTCCGATGTAGTGTAGAACCTGAGTGAACGAAAGGCAAATCAAAAGAAGAGGGAGAAAAAGAATTCAAATCTTAACCCAACTTATAACAAGATTTATAATATAGATGTTTATATGCAAGTAAAGAAGCACGTAGAAAGTAGTATGTAAAATTGTAATGAGTTTTATCTAGTGCAAGAGCTAAAAGCATCCTTTGCGCTTGAATGGTCATTCGTATATCATATCACAACCTTGCGCCATTCGTATCGAATGAAATGAAAGCAAAAATCGTAATGTATTCGTTCAATGTGAAGTCATCAATCAACGTCGCAGGCTTATTGTGTGGCCGGCACGCAACGCATCTACTCGCGCCTTACACGGGCCTTGACGCGTACTTTTATCATTTCGATACAAAAGCTATGCTGAGTTTCTGTTTTGTTTGAAATAAGATCGGTTATACTGCTGATACTGAGTTTTTAATGTTTTCTTGTAGATTAGACTTTTTGTTTTATTGAGTTGAGCTTTTCCGTCGTCCCCATACACATTGGTATCTAGTATTACTATTATTGAAATAATTACAAGTACTTCTTCCATGGGTAGCAATTAGTGACATTGTTTTCATATATATTACTAAAATCAATTGCATGTTAGATCCTAATATTCTACTTAGGAGACGTTGTTGTTACATTATATGCATGTAGAGCTTTAAGACAAAGAGCTTTAGAATTTTTATGGCTGAATATTTATTATTCAATATGTTATTTTATTATGTACAAAATTTTAGCTTTTTTGACATATGCTCGTGGTGTTTAGGTTAAAAATTAAACAAAAATGCATAGCACGTTTATAAGAATGGCAAAATCAAAATCAGAACCAATTCTTTGGCCAGTTTAGTAGCTATAAATATTTTATATAAACATGTTTGAAGTGGTATCCTTCTTAAAATCTATACTAATATTATAAAGAGTTAAAGTTTGTGACGTTGTAGGGAGTAATCTCTGGATCTACTGAACCTATTTAGATGAAATTTAGTAAGAAGATAGATTGAGACTGGGAAGGACATAGGATAGTTTTTATCCTGGAAATCCTCCCTTAAGGGGATGAAAATGGAGATGAACGTTTGTACGGAGAAACAATCTAGGGACGAACCCGAGGGAAGCGAGAGTGAGTCGCTAGTATTATATAAAATATCTTCACACATTAAAGCAATACAATCTACCATTGAACAAAGCGTCAAACACAAAGAGAACTAACAATGATTCAGCTTTAAAGTTTTATTTTTCTTTTACAAATTAACTGTATTATATAACTGTTGAAAAAAGTGTTGGCAAAAACATGCGAAAATTAAAAGACTCATTTGCAGAAGTCCTTTCAACAACAATGGTGTTTTGTGCATCGGTGCGTCAAAGAGTTAAAAATTCGAAAATTTGACTTCATAAACAAGGATTTTTGTTAAGAGATATGTATGCAAATAACAGGATTAGGCTACTGTCGCTGTTTGACGGATTTATTGCGAGTAGTTTTTGCCTTTTTCTTGTACATTGTGTCCCTTGAGACCTTATTGTGTATGTCATTTAACGGTAGCGATAATTTTTGTTTATCATTATATAGTAGCAGTTAGATACATTATAAATAAAAAAGAATCAAGCAATATTTTAAAGCATGTAGTTTTTTGTCGCTGTAATACTTAATACTTATTTGTATGTATTATATAATTTAAATTCCTCGTTTCTATCATAAAATTAAATATGTTTTATAAGAGTTGAGTTAAGATAAAGTTCATCTTGAGTGTTTTAGTAAAAATGAAGTTAAAAAGGGCATAGAAAATATATACATTTTCTTTATAATTTTTATCTTCTAAAACTTATTTATAAAATTATTTAAATAAAGTTTGCAATAAAATATATATGATTGATGCACTAAGAATTACTTATATGATAGTCTTGACTATTCCATCAAAGTTATCAGACGCATTAAGATATGATGTCAGCTAGCATTGTGGTCATGTCTATTACTATACCTACAATCTGCATTGATCATAACGAACATAGAATGTATATAACAAATATACCTAAAGATGTCACTAGTTACTATCTGTTGTTTTAAAGATTTCCGTCATTAAAGAAACAAATATTACTAAGACAATCTTTTGTTTGACTAAAAAGAGCTAATCGTAAATTAATGTAAAAAAATGATTTCTCTAACTTATTTCATCTTTCTAAACTACTTATATGATAGGTATTTCTAAGTATATAATATGTTAGTATAGTATAGTAGTAGTAGCATACAGCATAAATGTGCAAACATGAAGGTACACAATAACGGCACTTTTATTCCTGTTTGTTAAAAACCTCATAGCCCTTTTGGAAGGACTCAGGACTCCAGCAGAGTATTTCAAGAACTACGGAGATAGAAAATACAAATCAAGATCCTTCACCAACTAACCCGATAAAGTAGAACTATTAAGGTTAATTAGATGGTTGAATGGGTCAGTCCTTTACCTATCATTTAAATGTCGTAAATTATTTTTTTAATGTCTACCCGTTACTTTATTGTTCTAAAAATGTGACATATAATCCCACAAACTTTGTCACTTAAAATATTTTAAAGTAATAATATCATAAATTGCATTCAAAAAATCAACTTTTTAGTTATTTATCTTCAATTTAATAGATAGCTGTTGCATTCTAAGATGAGAGTATCTGATAGAAATATTTAAGACCAGAAAAGAAGTACTTTATACTCATATACACAGTACCTCGTACAATAATCGATCCCATAAGCTTTAGCTCAAAGTAGGTAGTAGTGACAGCACTAAACATTATACCTTTTATATTTCTAGGGTGATAAAATAGTACTATGCATATTAAATACAAATATATGACATCCATCATCATTATAAGTAATCTTGATCTCTACCTTTGTTTATTGTGAACAAGACACATTTTAGCTGTCGTCTTCGATGTTTTTATAAGATGCCGACATAGTTAATTAGATATTGCTTAGTTTAAGTTAACTAATTTCTACGGCATGATTTGCATTACAATTTAATTTATGCACATAATAAAATTGTAACAATCGTCAGTCTCATCGTCGTAAAATTGTAAAAACTGTCTTTTTTTTCAATTGCAAAAGATTATTATCATTTTCTTTAAAGTGAATAAAAAATTATGTTCAGCGGATACTAAGAATATAAAAGAACTTTGAAAGGTAATTTTTTAGAATTATTGTCTGCTTATCGGTTGTAATTAACTACCTTAAATCAAAAAGGGCTAGACGGATTTCAATGAAACTTTTTTCTTAGTCAGAGTTAAGGATTAAGATTCATCTTAGTCGGTTGGACAAGAAAAGAGACTACGATTTAGGTGTACCTAAGTATATACTCATTATATAATAATTTTATATTGAATAAAAATCAACACGAATGAATGAAGTCTCTGACGGTAAGCCTCATAAGTACCTATACAAAAACATTTTATCTAATAACCGCTCGAATGAAAGAATTATAAAAATCGACCACTAAGTATGATTACCAAAAATATGTAGATACATGATAATAAAGCCCCACTGTCATACTAGTAAGTTCTTAAATCTTTTACCGATATACCTGTGGGATTATAGTGTATAAGTTCTGAAACAATGGTGCGGTAAGTAAAAGGGCCTGTTGGCTATTTGGCAGG